CCATATTTTGAAGTAACCTTTAGTTAACTCTGGAATTAGACAAAATTATTTTTTTCTTAGTAATAACACATTACTATGCTTTTTTAAAAAAATTGAACACACATTTTATTATTTCGTTTGGCACATTTTATATATGGAATTATTTATATTAATTAGAATTTTGGTAGAAACCTAGAAAGTAAGAAATCTTGAATTGTCTGTGACATATCAGTATTTTATAGATGAGAATCATTTTATTATTTTTAGAAACATGTTTCCCTATAACATAATATTTTTATTAAGTGGAAACAACCCAGACATTTAAAGAGTATCTACTATTTAATTTCATATAACTTCAAGATTTCAAATTACATGAAAATTTTATTCACAAGCATTTATGCATTTACATTCACCTAATTTATTTATTTTAGCAATTTGCCTAGATTACTTATGAAAACTGAGATATTAGACATTAGCCATCATTTTAAGTTATTTTCTTATTAACCATTTTTATAGCCTGTGAATATCAGATACTCATCTGAGTAGGAAACTTAAACACATGGGTATTTTTGCTGATAACTCAGAAGATTCAGCTGTTTTCCTTGAACCAAAAATATTAAATTAATCTTATCTATCAAAAATCACACAAAGATCATTTTGTTTCTGGCTGGGTTTATAATTTTATAACCTTTGACACTTTAAAATATCTAGCAAAGACAAATATAAAACTAACCAGTAAACCCAGGCAAAATTGTATGTTGACAATTTTGAAGACATTTTTATTTATACTTTACCAATAATTTTTTAAATTAACTTATTTACAAACATTAATAAATTCAAGGAAACTTGAAAAACATTTAGGCTTATTTATTTAATTTGTGAGTGTTCATTTATAAGTCAACTTTGTATGATTTAGATACAACATATAACATAATACATGTACATACACAAAACACATTGAGACACATACATACACACAGATTAAGATCCAATAGTTTTTACCTTGTAACTCCAGCCATGAGATAGCTAGAGATAGTATGAAGTCACCAGTTTGCAAAAGACACTGGATTCAAATTATTTCCAACAAAATTGGAACTTGTTCACATGACTAAACTTTATTTGCCCCCATAGGTAATGTAATGAAGGATGTGAACCAAAATTTTCAGTAAAGCAGTATCCATGGTAGTTTGATTTAAATAAACCTTTTATACTCTTTTTCTTCCTTCAGTTTCAGATGAGTTTTTAATGTTCACATTTTAACTAGAACTGGCTGAACTGTATAAGAAAAACGAGATCTCCAAGTAGCCTTGAATTAGTGAGTTTTGTCTCAACACCAGTAGAAAAAATTAGCAGATTTGGGGAAGGCAGAAAAGCAAATGGAGAGATGGACAAATAAAAGACTTAACTCAACATTTTAACTCTATAGTTTCAGGTTGACCATTTGAGCTCTGAATTTTCTTTGATGTAATTTGCCCATCAGTTTAAAAATGTGCACAAGAACAGTTTAAAAATGTACACAAGAATGTGTAACCAGTTGGAGTCCTGAAAAACCTGGCATGCCTTTGAACCTTTCTGTTTACACAAATATTTGCAAGTAGAGGTGCCATAAACCAAGAGAGATGCCTGAAGGGCTTTGTTTTCCTTGTCTTTCCTCATTTTTAGAGGCTTTGTTTCCCTCTTTTATATCCTTATTCTTTTTTTTTTTAAAGAAGGAACTAAATTGTAGTCTAGTGTTTAGTGAAGTGGAGCTGAGAAGCTCAGTCTCTCATTCATTTATAAAAAGGACAGTTCAATTCAATTTCTCACCCAAATGCACAGACAAGCCAATTGAGATTAATTTTCAGAAGAAGAGGAAGTGAAGAAAACCCTTTAGAGTACACCTCCAAATCAAAATTAGGATCCCAAGCAACAACTTCCTAGGAAAAGAACAGACAGATCAGAATAAGCAAGGACAGTCAACCAAGAGCAGGAGGTCTGGGGCTCAGGAGAACTTACCAGTTCCACTTAAGGAGAAGCTCAGAATTGGTGGATTCAAGGGGGGGACTGTGCCAATGCCTAGCACCAAGTTTGGGTTACTCCTTCAGGGGGTCCTGAGTCTTCTCTGAGCCCCACGTTGGGTGCCAAGATTAAAAGAACAACAATAAAAAAAATGTGTAAAATAATTCAAAGAGGTTTATTCTGAGCTAATATTAGTGACCACAGCCTGGGGATCCACAAATCCAAAAAGCCTTGAGTAAGTGGTTCCCAGGTGGTTAGTTACAGTTTGGTTTTATACATTTTAGGGAGACAGGAATTACAGATAAAATCATAAATAAATACATGGAAGGTGTACACTGCTTTGGCCCAAAAAGGCAGGACATCTCAAAGTGGGGGCTTACAGGTTATAGGTGGGTTCAGAGATTCTTTGATTTGTTATTGGTTAAAGAAATAAAGTTTTGTCTAAAGACTTGGAATCAGTAAAAAGGAATGTTTTAAATTAAGATAAGGAAGTCTGTTAATCAGAGAGCAAGCTACAGTATACCAACACAAAGTGATCTGTTAAGCAAACCGATGGCCTACGGCCATGACTTAACTTCTGTCTTGCATGGCCGTAGATCCTGTTTGGAATTAGTATAAGCTCCAAAAGGGAGGGGGTGTAAGGAGGTGTGTCCGACTGCCCTTTACTTCATGGCTGAGAACTCAATTTTAAGGTTTTTCTGGGGTCCCTTGGCCAACAGGGGATCCATTTAGTCAATGGGGTGGGGGGCTCAGGATTTTTAGTTTACATAGCTCTAACACATGGCCTCCTGCCCTCCACCCCTGCCATCTCTCTCTCACTCTTGCTCTCATTGTTACTCTCTGTCCCTTTGCTCTCACTGTTACTCTTTCTCTCAGGAGGTCAGAAAGTTGGGAGGAAGTGTTAAGGAAAGGACATGACCACAGATTTCCTTTGTAAAATATTGAGGGAATGCCAAGAATGATCATTGTAGGAATGATGAGGAATAACACAGCTCAGATCAGGATCAGGTGTATTAAACACATGTGTATCTGATCATTCAGCAACCTTAGAAGCAGAACTGAAAGAACCCAGCGAAAATGTTCAAATATCCTTTTCAGATTCAATCAGGAAACTATATACAAGTCTCGGCTACATTACAATTAAACTGAGAATGAAAAGGGTGACCTCTTGAAGAAGGACAGTAATATAGGGTCTGGGACACAACTGGGGGATAAAAAGTTCAGCAGGATATGGGCAGAGGACATAGAGACAGGAATAGGAGATAAATTCCACCACAAATGAGATAATGTGCCCAGCATGTATTACTTCTTTTCATTACTCTAGGAAAACAAATCAGTTCTCTACATTCTCATACAACATTTCTGACAGCAGATGTGTGGGTTTTTTCCACAGCAAGCAATTCTCCAACTCTGCAAACACCAGCTGGGTGTCCTACCATTTAATTCAATTCTGACTTTATCTACTTGGAGTTAGCATTAGATCCCACAGGTTAAGAGATCAGTCCCAGAACACTGCCCCTCGTTTAGATGCCAATGGCAAGTCCAAGCCTCCAGTACTTCTGACCAGTTGGCTATAAACTGGGGGTTCCAGGCACCCCCTCCTCAGGTTCAATAATTTGCTAGACTGGTTCATAGAACTCAGGGAAACACTTTACTTATATGTTTACTGGTTTATTGTAATGCATATTACTCAGGAATAGACAGATGGAAGAGATGCTAGGTATTGAGGGGGAGAAGGGTGCGGAGCATCCACGCCCTCTCTGGGCATGCCACCTTTCCAGCTCCTCCATGTACTCAGCGATCTGGAAGCTCATCAAATCTTGATATTGACGAGCTCTTTATGGAGCTTGGTTGGTTTCCAGCCTTCTGCCGGCTTCCTGGAGGTCTTGCTGTTGACCAGCCCCATCCTCAGGCCATCTAGGGGCCCCACCCTGAGACACCTCATTAGCATACTCTCATCTGTGATCAAAAGGGGCTTGTTTTGAATAACAAAAGACACTTCCATCACTCAAGAAATTCCAAGTGGTTTAGGAGTCTGTGACAGGAACCAGATACAAAGACCAAATATATTTCATATTATACCACAGCTGCCAACTCCCATGGCTGGTGCCAAGAAGAGAGTTCTCTTTCCTCCCTTACTGTAAATATACATATAGAGACACGCTGTTAGGAGGAAAACGTTCTCTCTATGAATTTAGGTTCAGTGGCTAGGAGCCTGTGAATTAACAATAGACAGGTTAACAGGAGAAAAGAAAAGTTTTATTCATAATTTAGAGAAGCCTTCAGATGAAGAGGCTTCACGAACAGCTAGAGATGGGGGTTTATATAGCAGCTTAATAGGAGAGAGGGAGGAGGGAGAAAGGGCTTCTACAGGAAAAACAAATGGACTTTTGGGGAAGACAAATGAGAGGTTCGGATAAAGTTTGTTTATACAATTTTCTTGGAATATCTCCTGTGTGGAGATTCCCTTGGAAGGAGATTAATGGTGGCTGTATTTTCCAGACGCTCTGCTTTAGTCAGATGAGGGAATTTCAGGTAAGATTTCTTTCTGTATCTGCTGTAATTCAAATGTTTTCAGTTTAGTCCTTACACGCGTGCAGCACGCATGCACACACACACACTCTTCCCTTCTTTAGAAGCTAGCATCTTTATATATCTCTGCTCCCTAATTTGTTTCTAAATATTCAAAGGGAGAAGAGTGGGGTATGAGAATTGTCTTTGAGAGGAACCATTTCTTTTGGAGTAAATGAGACAAATTTTCTGTGTTGTGGTCATGGATGTGATGGGCATTAGTTTTTGACCAGAGTTTATGAGGTTATTAATGTGCATGCATGTTTATAGACTGCAGAAGAATTAAAAGTGAATAGAAGAAAAAGAAATGATCCCATAGCACAGTCTTCTCAGATACCTGCAGTTTAAGTCCTTTAATAAAGGGAAAGATAAAAAAAATCTTTCATTCAGGAAGAATAAATGAGTCTTAATGATCTAGCACATTTTTAATACTCTAACTTATTAGGGCGATTTAAAGGTTTGGGAAAAGGAAGAGAAAATTCCTAACATCATTTTCTTAATCTTATCAGACCCAAACATAACAACAATGACAAATAACACAGAACTTTGATTTTGCTGGTATATATTTTCAAATTTTTAATGTTTCTCCCAACAGCTGACTTTGGGGCATAACCAAAAGCAGACACTCAAAACATTCCTGTGACTAAGTAGAAAAATCCCTGGATGAGTAGCTAATTAAACTGAGTTTTTGTCTCAGCTCTTTCCCTAACTTTATGGTCTTCAGCAGATTCCTTAACTTCAAGCTTCTATATATAACAACATCATCAGGGGTGCTACGATATTAAAATGATACAGCTTAAATGAAAGCACTTCGAAATGCTTAAAATCCTATATAAATACACAAATGACTAAATTACAGAGGATAGGATCTGAGAGAGTTAAGCTGACTAGTATTATAAAAAGAAGCTTATTATAGAAAAGCCCAGACTCATTATAGGCATACATCTCCACTTATCTTTAATGCAATGTATTAATATTTAGTAGAATGGGTTATATAGAGAAAAAGAATAAGAAATAAACAGAGGAGACAGAGCCTGGGACAGTTCAAATGCATTACTCATTTCTATTTAAGGAGTAAGTTAAAGGCCAAACACTGGCCATAACCCCAGCAGGGTAGTATCTATTTGTCAAAGTGCACAGGCACCTCTGGGTTACCCTCACAGGCAATGACGACACGCCGAGTGCTTGCCATGGCTCGATATCTGCAGTTGGGGGCCCTGGAGCTTCCTGTCTCCCTGCAGTCTGTGACCTTCACTACACCCTCATGACAGTTCATATTGCCATTCTTGCACTGGACATTGGTGGTGCTGCAGATACTACGAATGTTCCAGATGTCTTCATGGATGAAGGTGTTGAAGCGCTTGCACTGACGCGTAGTCATCTTCCGTCTTTGCATCATCAAGTTGCAGTATCTATCATTGCCACCTGTCTCCTCAGGGTCCACATGTTGCCGCAGGAATCGTTGGTACATGTGATCCTGGCCATAGGAGGGCTGTACTAGCCCTAGCCCCAGCAGGATCAGCAGCAAGAGCAGAAGGAATGAACGGGTCCTCTGTAGAGCCATCAGTACCTTAGAGGTGCCTGGAAAAGAAAGGGGCGGGAGAAAGGAAGGTAAGAATTTGGGCACTGGAGAGAGGTATTGAGGATGGCAATCTGATACTTCCTTGGCCCCACCATTTCCTCTTGACTGTTATGTGAATCATCTTCCCACTCTTCTCTGCTCACAACTTCTCCCACACTTTCTTCCCTAAGAGTGAATAGTTTGCAAACATGGTCTTTTCTTTTTTATAGAGAGTAGTTGCTATAGCCAGTACAATGATGCAGGGCAGGGACTGTGTGTGTGGTCAATCTACATGAAACTGTCTTACATCTAGGAATCAAGGAAGGTGGAGATAGAGTAACATTTAGGCTTAACCTTTCCTCTCATGGGGCTACTCTTCTTTTTAAAAAACTTTTATTATTTTTTCCTTTTCCTTCTTTTTTTCCTTTCTTGTTATTTTTTTTATCATATGGCTAGTCTTCTAATAGTGTAAAATCAGGTCCTTTTGGAAATCCTGTTAATGCTATTAAGAAAAAAAAAAGAGTACCTAGACTGATACATAATAATGTTTTGTGATCCTAAATGTCTCAAAATGGAGTCACTTATGACAAGTGACTCAGCCCACAGTGAAACTGCTGATCCCTCAGAGTGACAAGCATGGGTATGGTGGACTGAAATGAGAAGATGACACCTGCTGTGGCCAGGCACCCCCTAGAGGGGACATGAAAGTGAAGCTAAAATGCAGCTGAGGTAATGGCTATGAACATTCCTGCAGAGGACCACAAAAACTGACCAGGGCATGGCCTAGATGCCTGCAGAAGCTCCACCCACGAGAACTCTCAGGCTTCCTTTTCATCCTCAGCGGCTGCTGCTGGAAGCCCTGCTGGGAGAAGAGCAGTGACGCCACTCCCCCTTGGTGGGCCGTCCAAGGAAAACCGGACCTGTGGGTTCATCAGTCCGCATGCTGGTCTCTCTCCCAAGCTACTTCCTGTGGTTTGTTCCCTGTCTCTCTTATTACTGCCTGTGTGTATTGGGTATATCTGCATGATAACAAATATATTTCTGTGAAAGCCTCACAGTATGTGAAACCGTGAATTTGTAAGCATTTAATTGGCCACTGAGTCACTGTGAAAACTCCCGGCCTCCAGGTGGAGTTAGCACAACTAGGCTGATTTGAACCTGACAGGAGACAGACACAGTGATTTTAAGATAGTAGGTAACAACTACTGCTTGAATGAACTAATAAATGAAACGGATTAGCTAATGAACAAGTGAAACTAAATGGGTATAGGGGACGAAGGTGTTTCCCAGGCTTGAAGAATCGACTGATAAGAAAAGCTAAGAAACATTAAAAAATAAATCTAAATAGCACAATCTCCACAAAAGAGGACTTGGATTGTCTTTTTTTTTTTTTTTTGTCGTGCTGTTTCTATGCATAACCTAAAAATATAGGCGCTGGCAATGCCATGCACTGTCATGCATCTCTCCTTAATGTTCTTTCTGTCTTGTCAATAGTTGTTGGTAGTTGTCTGTCTTCTCTAGTTGCAGAATCATTGCAGAAAATAAACACATATTTTATAACATTAAGAGAGATATATATCCAGAGCAACAACAAAGAAAGTATGGCCATGTAGTTTCAGAACATTCACTGCTTTTGTTGACTGATTAAAGAAAGGATTCCAGGTCTATCTGACTCGAACCCCTGTGCTCTTTCTGTCATCCTCTACTGCCTCTCGCATCCCACTCCCGAAATATTCAGGATATTAAAGACATTTACACTCAGAGTTGCTACCCTTCAGCAGTTTAATCAGTTTAATTAGGGATCGAGGTGGGATCACTCGCCAACACTTACTAACCAGATGCTGCCACCTGGCGTCACTCCTGGGATTGACATGAAGTGTGAATCCACCTGACTCTTGCAGTGAGGCAGGGCTGATTCACAAGAGCAAAGAAAAATCATCCCGGATTCAACAGGAACCAAACAACCCAAAGTAGCAAGGGCGACATTTTTAAGAGTCAGACTCATCTCCATATATGCAGTCCAAGGGCTGGCCCCAGCTGAACGCCTGGTTTTATGTATATGTACTACTGTCCTTCGTTTTCAAAGATCCTGCTTCATGACGGCAGATCACACTGTGTGAGTGACAGAAATGGCTTATGAAGGACCCGCACTTCGTTCCACCTAAAGTCTATCCTTTGATTAGTGATAAGGAAAGCACTATCAAACATAGCTATCGTTCTTTTAAATGTTACTTCCTATATTCACAGCCACTTTTTGCCTTTGCACAGAAAGGTATAAAGCTCTATGTCATATTCCTGAGCCTGCAGCTGTAGATAGGAGATGCGGTGTTAGGAAGAGAGGGAGGTGAAGGTCTGCGGGAGGCAGGGTGGCAGAGAGCGATGATTCTTGATATACTCCTCACTCCAAGATCAATGGATACAACTTCTGAAGATACACATAGTACTTGGGCTACAGCTTCAGCAGAACAATGTACTTTGGATTGTTTTTCCAATGGCACCTCCAGTCTTACATGGTTTTATCTACTTTCTTTCGTCTTGATTCTCGGTGATCAAAAATACAGTTTAGCAAGATAACTGGCTACAGAGAAGGCGTAAACTATTCATGTGAGAGCAAATCCAGGACCTCAGCTATCCTAACCAACTGAGTAAACAAGACAGAAAAATATTTGAGGACAGCAGGCCAATGTCGACACCAATGGGTGTCTCAAAGCTCTAGCTACAAGACAAAATGAAATGTTCTCCAAATCATCCCAACACATATTTTTTGGTCAGGACTTGCCCAAAATTCTTTCTCTACTGCACCATCCTGACTCTCAATAGGAATTTCTTTTGACACTGTGGTCCCAAAGACCTAGGCTGTGACCTTGGGGAAATTACTTAACCTCTCTCAGCATATTTCCTTGTAAGTAAAATGAGCGTAATAATGCCTACCTCTTAGTGATGTTACAAAAAAAAAAAAAAAAAGGAAGAAAATCAAAGTAAAGTGCTTATCACAAAGCCTAGCACATGGTAAGTGCTCAGTAAAAGCCGGCACTTACTGTATTATTTTTACCATTTCCATTTCTCTTGCTTTCCTCTACTTCTTCCAAACTGGATAAAATAATGAATGGCTATACTGGATTACAAATATTATTGACATCTCTTTATTTGGTAGAGTTAATTGTATTCTCAAGAAATTAGAAGTCTGTTGTTAAACTATAAAATATCTCAGCTACTGGATCCCTAGAGAAATGTTTCATTAAAAATTGCATGGAACTTTCTTCCTTGCATGTTGCCGTTCTTAAAAATCTTGATATTTTGGAATTTTTCTTCTCTTTTCCTTGTAAAGTCAATAATGACAGCTGACCAGGTCTTCAATTCCTCAAATGATTCACTTAAGATAAAATGGCCTGCCTGTGATTTGACATTTTATTCTAAATAGCTTTTGGTTGTGATGGAACAAGAGACCCAGAGCAAAAAGTACTAGGACTGCCTACCCAGCTGCCAGCACCATCAGCAGGTCAGGAAGCAGCCCCATTCTCCTGCTGCGTGATTTCCTATGAGATAGTCATTTCCCCTAACATCAGAGCAGGGCATGCAATGATAATGCTCCAAGCAGATGTCTGGAGAAGAAGTGAGTTTTCACAGCTGTGGCATGATCAGTATAATAATGGCCCATGCCTTTGACTTTCCCCATCAAGGTTTTGAGTGGGGCAATGATCTTCAGTGACTTTGTCTCACCTCAGAGAGTACTAGTTGAGAACTTGAGAAAAGGGTCCAAATATTCTACCAAACACTGGGACTTTCTCACTTCCTGAGGAGTTTTTGAGGTTTTATAATAAGGCAACTTTTCTAACAAGAGAGGTGTGGAAAACTTTTTCCTATTAGGATGTGACAGTGTTTTCCATTTTGAAATAGACTAACTCAAGGTGGAGAGATTCCCGTGCAACCTACTTCTCAAACCTCTTCCTAAATGTGAATACTTTCAGGGAGGCTGTGCTCTCCCAGGTGGTAGCTGGACACTGGTCTATAATCTAGGTATGGGGGAACCAGGGCTTTTGACCCATTTCGGGACAATGCAGGCAACAGGCGAGGCCACCATAGGGAATACTGTGACCACAATGATCGTGTTCACAAGACAGCAAAACTAGTGATTTATAACTGTCATTTATTAACAACTACTTTCTAAATAAAATATCCAGGCACCTGTTGATAGAAATTAGGTAACAGGAAGCTAAGCATGGAACCTGCAGATTGATTAGTGTATTTGACAAACAGTGTCTGTTAATCTAAGTTATTTTTACTTGGAAACAAATCTTGGAGAAGAATAAGGGATTAATTTGGAATCTTTCTATAACTTCTCTAAGGCATCACAATTGCCAGACATTATTTGATAAAATAAAAGATTATAGAGAAAATAATGTATTCTTTTTTTGAATTTTATTTTAAGTAACCATGACAAGAAAATATCCTGGGAGCGTTCCATTCAAACCAATATAAAAATTACCTCTTGAATGAATTTTTTTTTTTTTTTTTTGAGACAGAGTCTCACTGTGTTGCCCGGGCTAGAGTGAGTGCCGTGGCGTCAGCCTAGCTCACAGCAACCTCAAACTCCTGGGCTCAAGAGATCCTTCTGCCTCAGCCTCCCAAGTAGCTGGGACTACAGGCATGCGCCACCATGCCCGGCTAATTTTTTCTATGTATTTTTAGTTGTCCGATTAATTTCTTTCTATTTTTAGTAGAGACGGGGTCTCGCTCTTGTTCAGGCTGGTTTCGAACTCCGGAGCTCCTCCTTTCTTACGTGTGTTTGAGGACAAACTATACCCATTGCTTTATTTCCCAAAGTTGTGCTATCCTGTAAATTGGTAAAAGTATAGCTACTTTCTCTGAGAGAATACATATGTTTGTATCTGTAACTGCATTGGACCTAAATGTTTCATACTTATAATGATAAGACTCCTGATTTCTTACGCATGTTTCAACACAAACTGTACCCACTGCTTTCTTTCCCAAAGTTGTGCTATCTGGTAAATTGGGCAAA